ACATCAACATAAAAAACACCAACTAAAACCCGATGGAAAAAAATCTCCATCTAACAAAGGGATTTGTAGTTTTGTGGTTTACATGTCTACGTAATGCAACATAACAACATCATAAAAAAGCCAACAACAGCAACAACACGGACTACACACATGCACATACTTGTAAAGAGATTTGTAAACGCAATCACACATACCTTTACAAATGTTATTCCAACTGGCTGGCCATCTCTTCTTTGTGTGTGGATGGATGTATGTCCATGTGTGTTGGAGAGTGCAGCCTAACACACACACTCACACACACACACACATTTTTGTTATCAAATATTGAGTGTTGCCAATTAGCAAGGATTTTCCAGTATTTAATAGAGATTTTTATAGATTAGAATTGTCATTGTTGTTTGTTATCGACGTGCTTTGGTGTAGGTGTTTGTGTGTATGTGTGTCTGGGAGAGTGAGTGTGTTTTTTATTCTCAACAAGTCGTTTGTGTTGCGATAAGCCAGTTGTGTGTTGTAATAGGATCAGTCAAATTGGGCGGATGCCTGGGAGGATATTCCATAAAAAATCCAAAATTATTGAAAAAATATTTATACCAAAACCACTGCTCTTTTAGTTATTAGAAAAATAGTCATTACGTAAACATGTCCTTAAAAATATTCTATTTACTATTTTGGAGGTCCAATCATGACAAAAAATCAGATTTGGTGGTCTACAGGACCTTAGATAAAATTTTTTTTAAATCCGCCGTTTAGGAGGAATTTTACCCCTAAAGGTCCTTAAAAAATTTTTTTTTGGGTTTTCAGATGTCCTTGAAAAGTGATCTTCTTTGATGTTCCCAAGCTCCTTGAACAGTTTTTTTTTTTTGTGATTCAAACATTCTTGGAAAGTCATTTTTAAAAGGCACAAGTTTGGTGGTCTAAAGTTCCTTTAAAAACCCAAATTTGATGGTCTAACGGACTTTGATAAAATTCAGGTTTGGTAATGACCCGTTCCTATAAAAAAATATGTATTTATTACTTTATTTATTTATTTATTTATTTATTTTTTTGAAAACCATATTTTTTTCCAAAGTTCCTTCAAATTATATTTCATTTCATAGGAAAACATTTGGTGTTCTAAAGGTCCTTGAAAAAATCCATTTTTGGTTCAAGATCTAAGAAAAAAATGCACGTTTTGCTGTTTTCGAAAAAATCCACGTTTGCTTGTCCAAAGGTGCTTGCAAAACTCAACGTTTGGCTGATCAAAGATCCGTAAGAAATCTGTTGATATATGTTTGGTGGTCTGAAGGTCCTTGAAAAAATCCACGCTTAGTTGTCAAAAGGCCCCTGAAAAAATCCTTCATTAATGGTCTTAAGGTCCTGGAAAAAATCCATCTTTTGTGGCCTTAAGGTCTATGGAAAATAACGTATAGGGTGTCTACAAGTCCTTGAAAAAATCATAGCTTGTGGATCTAAATGTCTTTGAATAAATCCACATTTGATTGTCTAAAAATCCCTAAAAAAACCCATGATTATTGGGTCATTAAAATATTCTACGATTTGGCGATAAAAGGTCTTTAAACAAAATCCATATTTTGTTATCTAAAAGTCTCTTAAAGATCTTTTGAAAACTCCACGCTTCGTTGTCCAAAGGCCCCTGAAAAATCCTTGTTTACTTGTCTAAAAGTTCTGGAAAAAATTCCACATTAAGTGTCCTAAAGGTCTATGAAAAATAAGGTATAGGGTGTCTACTGGTCCTTGATCATCATCGTTTGTCGATCTAAAGGTCCTTGAATAAATCCACATTTGATTGTCTAAAGATCCTTAAAAAAACAAACAATATTCTACGATTCGGCGATAAAAGGTCCTTAAACCAAATTCATATTTTGTTATTCAAAAGTCTCTAAAAAATCCGAATTCGATCCTTGAAGAAATCCACGCATGGTAGTCCAACGGACCCTGAAAACATTTTTTTTTTAATGATCTAAAGATCCTGGTAAAAAAAATATTCCAAAGGACCTTGGAAAAATCAACGTTTGCTAGTCGAAAGGTCCTTCGAAAAAATCCACACTTAATTGTAAAAGAGATTCTTGATAAAAATATGGTTTGTAAAATCCCTTAAAAAAATCCAAATTCCAGTGACTGAATGTCCTTCAAATATATTCTTCATGGAATACACCTTTGGTGGTGAAAACGACTTAGGAAAAATATACGTTAAGTGACAGGAAGGTCACTGAATATTTTTTTTATTTAAAAAAAACTGGCTTATTCGTCTAAAGGTCCTAGAATAATTACCCACCTTTGTTGTTTGAAGGTCCTTGAACATTCTTCATGGTATACACCTTTGGTGGTCTAAAGGACTTTGCTAAAATTCTACAGTCCTTAAAAAATATTCTTTAGAAAATCCTCGCCTCTGTTGGTTCCAAAAAAATATTCTTTAGAAAATCCACGCCCCTGTTGGTCCTTGAAAAACTGTTCTTTAAAAAATCCACTCCTTTGATGGTCCTTGAAAAAATATTCTTTAAAAAATCCACGCCTTTGATGGTCCTTGAAAAAATATTCCTTAAAAGATCCACGCCTCTTACAGTCCTTGAAAAAATATTCCTTTAAAAATCCCCGCCTTTGATGGTCCTTGAAAAAATATTCTTTAAAAAATCCACGCCTTTGATGGTCCTTGAAAAAATATTCTTTAAAAAATCCACGCCATTGATGGTCCTTGAAAAAATATTCTTTAAAAAATCCACGCCATTGATGGTACTTGAAAAAATATTCTTTAAAAAATCCACGCCTCTTATAGACCTTGAAAAAATATTCTTTTAGAAAATCCACGCCTTTGATGGTCCCTGGAAAAATATTCTTTAAAAAATCCAAGCCTTTGATGGTCCTTGAAAAAATATTCTTTAAAAAAATCCACGCCTTTGATGGTCCTTGAAAAAATATTCTTTAAAAAATCCGAGCCTCTGTTGATGGTCCTTGAAAAAATATTCTTTAAAAAATCCACGACTTTGATGGTCTTTGAATAAATATTCTTTAAAAAATCCACGCCTTTGATGGTCCTTGAAAAAATATTCTTTAAAAATTGCACGCCTTTGACAGTCCTTGAAAAAATATTCTTTAAAAAATCCACGCCTCTGTAGATGGTCCTTGAAAAAATATTCTTTAAAAATTCCACGACTCTGTTGATGGTCCTTGAAAAAAAATCCACGCCTCTAGTGGTACTCGAAAAAATATTCATTTAAAAATTAACGCCTCAAATGGTCCTTGAAAAAATATTTTTTAAAAAATCCACACCTTAGATGGTCCTTGAAAAATATCCCTTAAAAATCCAAGCCTTTGATGGTCCTTGAAAAAATATGTTATAAAAAATCTTATCCTTGAAAAAATCCACGCCTCGTTGTTTAACGACTCCTGAAAAATATAGTTGTATCTCTATTTTTTTTTTTTAATTTTATATTCTCCCACCGAGGCCACTTTGTCCTTGCTGGCATATCACAACATGTATCCTTATCCCAGGGACTACAAGTTTACATGTTTAATTTTGAATTCTCCATTGATGAATCAAATACAAATTACAACCAGACAGTTGATAGACAGCTCGTTGGTGTGTCGTTGAACGGATAAGAGTTGGATATGTCGTGCTCGTGGAGAGGGAGGAGGTAGGTCCTGGAACATACCCAATGATATGTCTGTCTGTCTGTATGATTGTGAGAAAGGCCATGGCTATATGAATGGCCAAACAACAGGCCAATGATAGAGAATAGGCTGAATAGTCCTTTAGCCGGTTGTCCAATGGTTGTCTGTCTGTCTGGCTGGACGGATGCAAGGATGAATGAATGAGTGGCTGCTTGGCTGGCAAGAGGACAGACAAATATTTTTAACAAATGAATTGTGTATTGAATTGTATTTATACATTGCTATGCATTGAATTCAACGAACACATGAATGAGCATTGCAAACAAATAAAAGAAGTCCTGAAATTGCCTGGGTGAGTGAGGGAGAGGGGGTGGGTCTAGTCCTGGGGAAAAATCAAAACATTGCTTTAAATTCTGTAAGGGAATTCAGGCAATGCAATCAAATAATATAAGGGATAATATTTCAATTTTAATATTTGTAATATTTACACAATTACAGATTCTCATAACATTTAACCCTCATGAGGAAGGGGTCCCAAAGGACCCCATGCTTGCGTAGGAAAAATAAAAACGCTAGGAGTAGATAGATAACACATAAATGGTCAGGATAAGAATCCTTGTCACAACTCTGTGTAAAATAAGGACTCTCGTATATACCCCCTTGACACATGTGAGGGTTAAAAATTGCTCGGAAAAATGTTTAAATTTCAAAGCCAATAAAATTAAAAAATATTTTTTTTTCTAGTTTCTAGTGTCTGTCTATCAATTTTTATTAACATTTGAATTTCAAATAATCAAAAATCCTGGCATATGCTTGAAAAAAACAACAACGACAACACAAAAAAGAAGTATTGAATAACAAAATTTATTCAAAAATGTTTTTTTTTTTTTTGTTTTTTTGAAAACCAAAAATTATTAGCTGTCCTGTGAAATATTTGCATTTTATTCATTGATTAGAGTTTTGCGCAATTTTTGGACGAGACGTCTGTCTCTCAGCCAGTCTCTATTGATCTAATGGTGTCTGTCCAGCTCTTGTTGTTGTTGATGTTGTTATGTGGTTGAACCCCCGAATATTTACATTGTTTTTGTACAAAAACAAAACCGGTTTGTCTAAACATTCCAACAATATTTGGTTATGATTGATTAAATGAATATGCCATCACTTTTTTTTGGGTTTTATGGAAATTTATTCATGCCAATGTTTGGAGGATTGTAGAAATTTAAATTTACATTATTTTAAATGAAATTGATGCCATGATTTCAGCTTAAGTTTAAAATTCAGTTTTTGATTGAAATGGATAATGTTGTTTTATATTTATAAACTTACATTTCGAAATAAAAATTATTAGTTTTTTTCCTTAAATAATTTAAAACTTTCGTTTTTTGTTTCAGATACCCCCTCCTTTGCCATATCACGCACCCCAGGTTTTGGCTATCCCCTGCGGGAGGGCATTGAGGTTTCTCTAAAATGTGATGTTGACTCGAATCCATCCAGCACACCCAGATGGCAGAAGGATGATGGCGAACCACCGGTAAGTTAATCGATTTCAATTTTTTTAAATGTCCTTGAAAAATTGTCCTTTAAAGAAACCACGCCCTTTATAAAATATGTTTGGTTTTAAATGTCCTTGAAAAAATGTTTTGTGAAAAATCTCCCTAGTTTCTTCTGGGAATCGGAACATTAAGACCCTCATTTGCTTGAAAAAATATCCTTTAAAAAATCCACGCCCCAAATAAAATATTTCTTCAAAATGTCTTTAAAAAATCTCCTGAGAGGCCACTTAACCTCTGCTGGGGCAATTGCTTAAAAAAATGTCCTTTGAAAAATCCACGCCTTTAGTTTTATATTTTTTAAATGTCCTTGAAATCCTCATACGAGTCTCTTGTGGGACTTAGTCCTAAAATAAATGCCCTTAAAAAAATCCACGCCTCTAATAAAATATTTCTCCAAAGTGTCGTTGATATCCTCCTGTGAGTCTCTTGTGGGATTTAGTCCTTAAAAAAATATATATCCTTTTAAAATCCACGCCCCTAATAATACATTTCTTCAAAATGTCTTTGAAAAATCTCTTGGAAGGCCACTTGGTCTCTTTTGGGAATTGGAAATTTAAGACCTCCATTTTCTTGAAAAAATATCCTTTAAAAAATCACGCCTTCATTAAAAATATCCTTTAAAAAATCCACGGCTTCATTAAAAATATCCTTTAAAAAATCTACGCCTTCATTAAAAATATCCTTTAAAAAATCCACGCCTTCATTAAAAATATCCTTTAAAAAATCACGCCTTCATTAAAAATATCCTTTAAAAAATCCACGCCTTCATTAAAAATATCCTTTAAAAAATCCACGGCTTCATTAAAAATATCCTTTAAAAAATCTACGCCTTCATTAAAAATATCCTTTAAAAAATCCACGCCTTCATTAAAAATATCCTTTAAAAAATCCACGCCTTCGTTAAAGATATCCTTTAAAAAATTCAGGCCCTCATTAAAAAATGTCCTTTAAAAAATCCACGCCTCATTAAAAATATCCTTTAAAAAATCCAGGCCCTCATTAAAAAATATCCTTTATAAAATCCACGCCCTTTAAAAAAAATATCCTTTAAAAGAACCACGCTTGTGAGACTTAGTCCTTGAAAATATATCCCTTAAAAAATCCACACCCTTATTACAAAATTTCTTCAAAATGTCCTTAATATCCTCCTAAGAGTCTCTTGTGAGACTTAGTCCTTGAAATTATATCTTTTAAAAAATCCACGTCCTTAATAATATATTCCTGTGAGACCACTTGGTTTCTTATGGGGCTTGGTCCTTTGAGATTTTCTGGTCTGCAGTGAGACCACTGCGTCCCTTTTGAAACCATTTGGTTTCGTGTGAAAAAAAGAAGAAACCTTTTTTTTCCTACGATACCACTTGGTCTTCTTTTGCTCTCCTACACCTTGGTTGATTCGGCCTTAAAGTATGCAACACATTTTATTTTTTATAATTTTATATTTTTCTTTTTATTTGTGAAACCTCCTGGTCTCTAGACAGACCACTGCGTCTCGTTTTAAACGTGTGAGACAGTTTTTTGCTTTCCTACGAGACCACTTGCTCTTCTTCTGATCTCCAAGCCCTTCATCGCCTCTGACACCATCTTCTCTCCATATGACCTCTAAGCCCTCTTAGCCACGTGGTTTTTCCAGAAGTAAGGTAATCAAGGAAATTGGTGAGACCAGGCGGAATGATCTCTCCAATGGCTTGCTTTCAAGTGAAATCATTCCACCAATTCCCTTGATTTCCTATATTCCCTAGGCCTCAAAAATTCTTTTCAGCCTGAAAGTATGCAACACATTTTACTTTTTTATATTTTACTAAAAAAAATTATCCTGTGAGACCTCCTGGTACCAAGTGAGACCATTATCAAGCACTGGGTTTCCTGTGAAAAAAATGGTTCTCCTACGAGGCCACTTGGTCTCCTACTTCTTGATCTCCTCTGAGACCACCTTCTCTCCATCTAACCTCTTTGTAATCTAGCGGGTCTCATTGCTTTTCCAAAAATTGCACCTGATCTCACCAATACCACTTGACTTCCACTTCCACAAAATATGTCACAAAAATCTTTTCAACCTAAAAGTATGCAACAAATGTTATTTTCTTTTCTATTTTGCTGAAAATTGACCCTGTGAGACCACTTGGTCTCTTGTGGGACTGCAGTGAGACCACTGCTTCTCGTAATAAACTCCTTGGTTTCGTGTGAAGCATTCGGTCTTCCTACGAGATCACTTTGTCTTCTTTTGCTCTGCTAACACTTGATCGTCTTTGAGATCGCTCCGATTGTGGCTACAAGGTTTTTCCAAAGTCTTAGCAGGTCTCACCAATACCACTTTATTTTCTATATAAAAATACTTTTCAGCCCAAAAGTATGCAACACATTTTGCTATTTTCTTGTTAACTGAAGATTAATGCTATGAGGCTTCTTGCCCTTCAGTTAGACCACTGCGTTTCGTATTGGACCACTTGGTTTCGTGTGAGTCATCTTGTCTTCCTACGAGACAGCTTGGTCTCCTTTTAGTCTCCTACCGTTTGATGTCCTCTGAGACCACTTTCTCGCCATATGACCGCTTAGTCTTCTAGATGCCCACATGCTTATTTCAGAATTCCACCTGGTATCACTAATACCACTTGACCACCTAACATCCCCAATGCATGTATCAAAACTGGTATTCGCCTAAAAGTATGCAACACATTTTAGTTTTGATTTTTCTATTTTACTAAAGATTTATGCTGTGAGATCTCCTGGTCTCCAGAAAGGCCACTGCCTCTCGTTTTAAACCACATAGTCTAGTGTGAGACATTATGTTTTCCTACGAGACAACTTTGTCTTCTTTTGATCTCCTACCACTTGGTCTCCTCTGAGACCATCTTCTCTCCATTTGACCTTTATGTCTTCTAGCGGGCCACATGGTTTTTCCAGAGTTCCATTTGGTCTCAAAAATATCACGCGATTTCCTATATTTGCCAATATATGCTCTAAAACTCTTTCAGTCTAAAAATATGCAACACATTTTACATTTTTCAATTTTACTAAAAATTTATCCAGCTCCTTGTTTTTCTAGAACCCCACATGGTCTCACCAATATCATTGATTTTCCCAAATTTGCCAATATATGCTATAAAACTTCTTATATTTGCCAATGTATGCCTTAAAAAACTTTTAGCCTAAAAGTATGCAACACATTTCACATTTTTTATGTTTTACTAAAATTTAATCCAGTGAGAGCTCCATTTTTCTAGAACTCCAATTGGTGTCACCAATATCCTTGAGTTCATACATTTGCCAATATACATTTATTAAAAAAAATTCTTGTCAGCCTAAAAGTATGCAACACATTTCACATTTTTTTCTATTTTTTGTTAATAATTCAAGTTTTTCCTTTCCATTTCTTTTGCAGGTCCCTCAAACCGGTGATGGTTTCTTAAATTTCACCTCCATACGACGCGAACACTCCGGCTGGTATAAATGTACCTCGCGCCATCTAAACTATCAATATTCATCGATTGGTTACTATCTAAGCGTGCGATGTAAGTATTAAATAAACATCAATTTTTCCCAATATTCTTGTGGCCATAAAAAATATGGAAAAATATAAAAAAGAGGAAAAAACTTTTGTTAAACCACCCCAAAAACTTGTGAAGGTTAAAAAATTTGACAAACCTTCCATCCCTTAAACATTGTGTGGGGATAGAAAAAAAAACGTATCAATATTTCATTACCATATATGACAAGACATGTGCGTGAAATTGCCTTTGGAGGGAAAAAATTTACGAAAAAAAAATGCACAACTGGGTAGAATAGGGGACTGGGTTACAAAATCCGTAGAAAAATACCCAAAAAAAAAAAACAACCACCATTTTACAAATATGAGTGTCTCTTAACAGCCCATGTTGTACCCCCACCCCCCCCCCCACCCCCTTTGCATTTTGTGGGTGAAGAGTTAACAAAAGTCAATATTTACATTACATGGCTTCACAGGTGAAGGGGGAACTGACAAGTGCTTCTCCCAGAAGCCCAGCAAAATCCAGTGCCTGATTTTTTAAGCTCTGCGAAAAAAAGAAAACGCCAAAAATATTGTAACCCCGCCAAAAAAAAAAAAAAAAAAAAAAAAAAAAAAAAAAAGAACCGTCATCAAAAACTAAGACTTGCAGCCTTTTGAAAATAAGAGCAGGCAGACATACACACTCTTCTCTCTCTCTCTCACGTTACACATACGCACCCACTTCCTCACACATCGATGTGGACCAATAATTTTCATAGCCCTATTATTGGTTGACTATCAAAAACACATTGCCTGTGCCGGCACCAAACGGCCGTAACGCACAAAAATCTTCATTGAACCCAAAACAGTTTGGAAGTTTCTTTTTTGGTGGCGGAGGACAAATGGGGGGCATTTGTGTCGTACTAAAGTATTACTTTCACACATACTTTTACATTGTGGGGGCCTGTAATACACATGGGTGTCCTGTTTGCTGTTTGTCGTTGTCGTTTTTTATGGGCACAACACATGTCAAATGACAAAAAATATGTTCTTATAACGACCCTAACTAAAAAAAAGTCAGGGTGTCCTAAGGCCCTCAAACTTTTCGCCATGGTAGACTTATGAAAATATTTATGCAAAAAATGTATGAGTGTGTGTGTGATGGCGTTTGGGGAATACTATGAGGGTGTTGAAAATATTTGTCATTTTGTTGTAGTGCCAGAAAACAAAGTTTGCTGTAAATTATTTACAAAAATTAAATGTAAGATGGGGAGGGGGTTTTTCAATTGGGGTCTCAAGGTATTGAAAGGAATCAATGAAATTTAAAGGACGCACATTTTTATAATTTTTATATATTTTTTTTATATATTTTTTTTTTTTTGGGAAAATAAATTTTATTTTTTAGAAAAACGGGATCAGATTTCAAAAAAAATTGATAAAAAAAAAATTTTCTCAAATTTCATTTTAAAATTATCTATTTTAAAATTATTTTCCAACAAAACAAGGAAAGTTGATAAAAAAAGTATTTCCTCAAATCCCAAAATTAGGTGGATCTATTTTAAAATTATTTTCCACAAATTCCAACAAAACCAGAACAATGTGTATATTCGAAACAAAAATATTTTCCCAAAATATACCTCTCATAGGGTTTCGAAAAACTTCTTCAACTGCACATGGCACACAATTTGTGTAAATTCCATAAAATTCTTATAAATACAGGGTAAGACAAAAAAAAATGCAACAAAGTCAAACGCCATAATTTTTAAATTTTTTATACCCTCCACCATCTATAAAGGGTATATTAACTTTGTCATTCCGTTTGTAACTCCTCGAAATACTCATGTCAGACCCAGCAAAGTATATATATTCTTGATCGGCGTAAAATGCTAAGTCGATTTAGCGATGTCCGTCTGTCTACGTCTTCGTATAGCCCCCATATAACGGCATCTCCCGATGTTCGGTATTTTGATGATTAAAGCGACATTATTCACCGAAATTGTTTCAAATTTAATATTTGAAGTTCGTAATGTATACTACAGCCTATGACAGAAAATTGTCTGTGCAGGTCCACGTCTTCGTATAGCCCCCATATAACGATACCTCCCGATATTCGGTATTTTGATGATGATTATAGCGTCATTATTCACCGGAATTATTTCAAATTTGGCATCTGAAGTTCACAATGGATACTACAGTCTGTGACAGAAAATTGTCTTTGCAGGTCCACGTCTTCGTATAGCCCCCATATATCAGTACCTCCCTATATTCAGTATTTTGGTTTTAGGTACAATACTCACCAAAATTGTTTGAGATGTCGTATTTGAAGTTTGAAATGGATGCTACAGTCTGTGGCAGAAAATTTTCTATGCAGGTCCAGGTCCGATATAAGCTCCGATAATATTCGGCATTTATTCTGGTGCCACAGTCGATTAATACTAACGGAGAGCGACCATCGGCTGTTGTGGAGGCCCAAACCATCACCATGGCCGGCGCTTGAGTTCTGGTGTCGCACCGAAGGTGGACGTTTTCAGCTGACATCTTTGGCAGGTAAACACGATCATTTTGTTTGTTTATAAACTGCTGGACAACGAATGTTTTCTCATCGGAGACGGAGAAAATCAAATTCGGCAGTTCATCACTTTCGGCCACGCGAAGCGAACTCTTTAGCTCTTTTAGTCTATTTTCTTTCTGTTGCGGTGCAAGTTCTTGCACTTTTTGGAATTTCAATGGCTTTACCCTGAACTCATTTTTCAATATTTGGCGAATGGAATATTGCGATATGTTCAGCTCACGAGCCATTTTTTGGCCACTGCGAGGCGGGTTTCAATCGAGTCTCTTCTTTACTTTTCGAACCATTTCTGCTGATGTCGCTGTTTTCTTCCGTCCACTTCCTTGACGTCTACGGGCTGCGCTACCAGTATCATGGTAACGAGCCATGGTACGAGACACAAAAGATTTATTCACATTTAAATCCTGGAGAGCTCAGACGATAGCCATTTGTGGTTTTATAGCCAAACATAAAGAAATCACACCTCTATCACGCTTGAATTCCATCACGAATAACTTTTTTTCTGGAAAATTCTCAGCAAAATGCTTTGGTGCGCTTGTAAACAATAGAATGGGCTGTCACTGGAATAATTTTAACAGCTATCGGATAAGTAGCAGCAGTCTGAAATAATGGCAGCAGTCTAAAATTGGTTGCAGTTTTTCCATCTTATGTTTTTTCTAAGGCAACGTAACAAGTTTTTTTTATATTTCTTTTTTCCTTCGACCCAAGGCATCGTGGAAATATTTTTGTAATAACCTGAAACGGAATTTTTTTTTTGATTTTTTTTAAATAAATAAAAATAATAAATTATTCCTGGTCTAGAAGCAAAGTGAATTTTTGTAATCTTTTTTTTTTTTTTTCTATACCTATGGCAGTTAAATTTTTCAAAATATTATTCCAGAGACCTAAGACTGTGTGTTTTCTTGTCTTTTTAACGCCTATGGCTTAGGGAATTTGTCAATTTCAAGGTAATGTGGATTTTTTTTTTTGATATTTGTTCCTAAGGCTTTGAGCAAGCAGATCTTTTCCAATTTTTTTCCTATGGGCTTAGCCCTAATTGAAATATGCGATTTTTATACCCTACACCACATAGCGGTAAGGATATTATGTCTTTGTGCATTTGTTTGTAACAGGCAATAGGAAACGAGATAGACCCATAGTTACTTTTGAGGATCTCCATAGAATCACTTTCTGAGTTAATTTATGAATGTCAGTCCGTCTGTCCATGTATTCTTGTGAACAAAATGCAGGTCGCATTTATTATCCGATTGAGATGAAATTTTGCAAACAACATTTGTTTGGCCCAAGGACGAACCCTATTGAAATTGGAGATAATCGGTAAAAATTTAGATATAGCTCCCATATATATTTTCGTCCGATTTGCAAACGTGTAATATCGGCCCCAATAGTATGGAATTTTGCACGTACGATCAGATTGGACCTGAAAATAAGTATGCCAAATTTGATCGAAATCGGTTCAGATATAGCTATAGCACCCATATATAACTTCGTCCGATTTTTTATTTTTGTCCTCCACAGTCGTAATATGCACCCTGTAACAACAATATTTGCGAAAATATATCAAATATGGCTCAGAAATACATTTGCTAAATTTGATCGAGATCGGTTCAGATTTGGATATAGCTCCCATATATAACTTCGTCCGATTTACATTTTATTGTGCGCCAAACGTCTAATATTTGCCCGAATTGAATGAAATTTGGCACTTACGACCGAATTGAGTCTAGAAGGTAGTATGCCAAATTTGGTGAAGATCGGTTCAGATATAGCTATAGCTCCCATATATAATGTTCATCCGATTTGTTATTTTTGTCCTCCGCAGCCGTAATATGCACTCCGTAACAGCGATATTCAGGGAAATATATCAAACACAGCTCAGAAATACATTTGCCAAAATTTATCGAGATCGGTTCAGATTTGAATATAGCTCCCATGTATATCTTTATATGATTTCAAATTAATTTTGCATCAAAGTCCGAATTTAAAAGACACAAATGCTTCGGCATATTTAGTCCTTTGAACTTTAAATTAGAATTATAATCATAGCGTGTATGATTGAATTCTACCATAAAAAGTGCAAAGTGTAGGGTATCATAAAGTCGGCCCCGCCCGACTTTAGGAATTTCTTTACTGGTTTTTAAAATATTTTTTATATTTTTTTTCTACCCAAAACACTATTTGTTAGAACCTTATAACACCACATAATATTTGTCGTAGACACACGATGTTGCATATCGATCATCCTGTATATTTAATAAATTCTCCTAAGACTTTGAGTTTTTTTGCACTTTTTTTCTTAACCTCCAGACAACTTTTTCAACTACACCTCGCACACAATTTGTGTGAATTCCAGAAAATTCTTACAAAATAATATGCACCCCATAACCAAAGTTATGAGCATCCAGGGATGGGAGTATGAAAACAACATTACAACAACAACAAAACAACGACAAAAAAAAACAAACAACAACATAGAA